TGCCCTTATTTCCTCTCTCTTCCCATGATTAAAAAAGATTATCTCTTGCTTCTCACACCCTTGAATGACTGCCATTCAATTCTTCAAGACATCCAAAATTTTCCATCACTTGACATCATTAAATTAATAGGCCTTTCTAAAAACATATGCTAGAATCTAACACATGCTATGGGCTGCACAGGTTACTCATAGAGGTCCTTCACTCTCCATAATGTAGAAGGTTGGAAAGTCTACTGGCCTCAAATCCTTACTTTTTAACCCCCTATAAGTGAACTTTCAATTAGCTATACTCTTATATAACATACATGCCTACATAACATTCGGGCATGAATTTCCAATCTCTTATCCAAGTGTATTTATTTGGACAAAAGACAAGTGCAGCCAAGTGTCACATACTTTTTGTAAGGTTGACTTAAAGATCTGGGTTGCATTTCAAGCAGATCTTCAAGATTCTTTTTCCCCTCTCCCACTAAACGATTAATTAACAGAAGATAAAATATTGCTATCGAGAAACATGGTTATTGTGAAAATCATTTACAGGATTTCCACCTTCGTTGTTTTGCTCTTTTAACGAGGGATGAGCAAAAGAATAAAGCATTTTAGCAAGCGAGTGAGAGCACAGCTCATGGCTACCCAGCTCCAGCAGCAAAGTTAACCGAAGAGATTCCCTCCTCTGTGCTCATTCCCACCTTCATGCTACAACTGACTTCCTTCTCAGCTGCACGTTGTAGTTTTGCAAGCAGTTCTTCATAAACAGGTGACTATTATAATCCATATCACTAAAAAATAAAATCAGAGCATTATTTTTCACTTGGATTATTAATTCTGTCTCCTCTACCGTATGGTTCTACAAGCAGCTGAAGCGACCAGAAGCACCAGCACCAGTGGATGAGTTGAGCAGGAATTTTGTCTTCTCTGCTGGTCAGTGAATCACAGAACTGCGGTCTAAAGGCTCCCTTGCCGTATGTCCACAGTTGTACTGATACAACCCTTTAGCCAGAGCAGCACCCATTCCATTACAAGACTTCTGTCCCCCATGTACAATAAACTGCTCAGCTAATAAAGACAACAAAAAAATAAAGAAAGGAAAACAAAAAATCTCGAGAGTAGAAACAAAGTTTGGGAGCTCATAATTAAGCCTAATGGGGCAAACGCTTGAGTCATCAGAACACTTAGTATTTGAGGAAAGGTAGATACCAGGGTTTAAAGCACTTACAACATTCTGTACTCAGAAGAGATGGTTTCATACATAAGACACTGCAATTACTCATCTCTGTCTTCCCTGCCCCCTTCTCCCTTTCTCTGCCCCCACACACACTTTTTTCTGGTTTTCCTCCTGCTATTGTCACTTGTGTTAGCTTTCTGGTTACCTGCGTGGTCTACTGCAAGGTGGATGCCACCACTCTCAAAACTTCAGTTTCTTTGTCGCTAATCTAAGCTAAAAAGATTATCCTGGTCACTTCCCCATTAAACTTCCCCATCAGCTGAAATGAAGCATTTGCTTAAATTAAAGCTATCGGTACCTTTACATCTGAGCACAACAAAAGCATGTCTAATGTCTTTTGGACCTTGGGTGTATTTGAAAGTGTTCTACAGATCCTGTATGTTCCAGACTACGGCTTCGGAAACCAGGAATGTATTTCCATTTGACATAATTGGTCTTATCTGGTTATCTTTAAACTGAGTCGCTCCAAACAGCACACATTAACTAGTTCTGCCACGCAGTTCTGCAGCCACCACTACTATTCATTTTAAAGGGGGGAGAAAAATTCTGTTTGCTTTGCGGATTGCTAATCTTGATGTTTTGCCACCCAGAAAAGTCATTAACGTATACCAAACTCCATCAATTCTTTTTGTGTGTGTATGAACATTTATTTATCTTATCACCAAGAACAAAGTAAGTACGCCTCTACAAAAACAAAATTTATGCAGATGTTCTTTCCTATTTGGTTTTCCTTTAATTTGCAAATCTTGTAATCTAAGACTGAAGTTGACTGAACCGACTTCTAGACCAGCACAGTAGTATCAGCCAAAAAACACAATCTGTTTCCCATTTATGTGTCAAGACTGCATCCTTCTTGGGGGCTGTGAAAACTATTGTTTTGAAAAGATTATACAGTGAATCACAGAATGGTTTGGGTTGGAAGGGGACCTTTAAAGATCATCTAGTCTAACCTCACGCTAGACATATTTCAGTCATTTTACTAGACGGAAAATTTGACTTTTTAAGTACAAAAATGTGTGTACCAAAAACTAGTCAGAAACTCAGATATGAGGCTTTAGAAAGCACAGATTTCATCTTCCCTGGCAAAATGCTCTTCATGGGGAATACAAGGATTGAGAGTAGTGGCAAACCTCCCTCTACAGAATTTTTACAGAAAACAGATACCAAAAATCAATTTCTAAGTGCAAAGTTTAACATTCCACATACCCTAAGTGTTTTTTTTAAAGCTTGTTCTCAACCATGACTGTCACAAAGAATTTAAGATTTAAAAGTAAGAAATATTAACGTTAAGACCTCAATACCAATATTCAAGGGGATGTAAGTTTTATCAGCATATATTGTATCAATGACAACTGCATTAGGTTTCATTATAAAAGAGATTCAACCCACGCGCCAAGCTACCCAGATGTTGACGTCTAAGTTAATACATTGAGAGACACACTGGGAGACATCTTAAAAATTAACAAGGTATTTTTAGACCTGTCAAAAATCTTTAATTAAGTAAAACATCAGGGGATCTCTGGGATAAATTATCGTATTTCTAAGTTACTAAAGAGAACTTTCACTGTCTAAATGACAACAAACAAAATTTCAGGAATGAAACGTACATATAAGTGTTGATTTTAAGCAAATGTTAATTTTGCACAAAGTACGTCTATACCGAGTCTTTATTTCATAATGAGGTGAAGAAATCATAGCATAGTATCAAAGACAAAATTATTCATTATCTTCTTGCCATTAAAATACATAGCATCTTGTAGGGATAGTGAGAAATACTGATGTTATTAAATATAAGTTATACTTTTGAAGTTATTAATTCATGACTACTTGAAAATGCTTTAGATTGGAGATTGACAAATGTTCTACATTAAAAAGAATTGTCTTTTTACCATATTTCTCTCATTATAGCGTATTTACTTTACAGCTAACGGAAAAGAGAAGAATTTCCTGACGGTAACCACTAATGCAGACTAGTGGTCAGAACCAGGAAATCCCAGCTCCGAACTTGAACGTGTCAATATCTCGTTGATACAGTCCCAAAAGATAAAGTAAGGGCAGGGAGGCTGCGCTGGTGGAATTATTTTGAGGTTACACCTTGCAAAGATAAAGACATGGGTCCTACTGTTATAATAGTGTCCAAACTCATTCACTTTATACTAAAAAAACACAATGGAGTTTACGGATCATGTGTTGGAAGACTTGGATTTCACACACTGGGTCCGCTTTGGATCAGTAACCTTTGAGAACATCACTCAGTCTTTTAGGCACTTGCTTTATCCTTCTGTTCAATGGGAAATATTTTACTGTCGGTGCTGCATCATTTCACTGATGATATTACCTGCCAGTTCAGCAGATAAAACAGACCTCCTATTGCCTGCCCACGTTCAGCCGGGTGCTGACGGCTGCACTACTTGGTGCCATAGCCAGCATAAGCCCCAAAGTAGGTGAGGAGATGACCGTATTCAAAATCAAGCACTTTGGAACAAAAACTCTAGAATAAACGTACTATCTTCTTCAGATACATGATTAAACAAGGTGGTTTATTTGTCTGCAACCACAAGAAACAACGTTAAGCATAAAACCTCAAGAACAGAACAAAGTTGTGATTCAGGCTCAGAGGCTATTTTAATGTCCTACACCAATTCTTCCATCATTATAGAAATGTAATCAAATGATCTATGACTAACAGAAGAAAAAAATAAGAGTGGCGCTTGAGGCAATTTAAAAGGAGCGTGATTCCAGTTGACAGCAAACTATCAAAGAACTCTAAATGAGAAAGCTATCGACAAAACAGGCAAATTGCAAGGACTCCGTCAAAAAAAGAACTTGCAAGGAGCAGTAAATGTAGAAAACACCCACAGGAGGGTGGAAGATAAAAGGCCCTATAAATTGTTTTGCAAGCTGTAAACACACCATTAGGAAGACATTTCATTTCTCTACCCTACATGGCTTTTGTTTTAAACATTTTAAAGAGGCAACATTAATATTCTGGCTTAACGCAGTAATAATACACTCAGAGAAATTTACAGAGACTTGATGGTCTGTCTCCACACCCAGAGCGATTAAATTCTTAATTGAAAAGGGTGTGGCACAGAATTAGTCTTACTACTGTAAGAAGATTTACTTGAACTGTTTAGCCTTTGAATCACTGTGTAGAGGATTACCCTTGAAAAGCAAGTATTTTCCTGCAGGTATAGCTAGGAATTCTTTGCATTGTCTGAATCAATATATCTAGCAGACATAAAATATCCTAAGGCCCTCTTTTATAAGAGCAATGATACAACAATAATGCCCAGAGAGCACAAGACAGGACTGTTAAGTTATTTTTCTAGCTCCAAGAAGTAGATTTAGCATGTATTTTGCTGACAGAGTGGCTGTAACAATGAAATGGCTTGGTCCTTGTAGTGCATTTGATACATGACTGCTGCTGGAAATAATTTTTAATTACTTTTTAAGACACAGATATTGCTTTACACAACTTCTCGATAATAATTCCAACCAGGATTAATATCAGAAAAGGCTAATCAAAATTGTGATTACACCGAGAACAAAATAAACTCAAAATACTTTGTAATCTATTTTATATGAAGATTATTTTTTTATTCCTTCTAAAAAGCTTAGGTCATATGCAAATGAATGCCAACATACTGACAAAAACTTGGAAAGCACTTCACAGTGTAATCACATTAGCAAAAAAAGAATAGATCTTTACAGTTGTAATCTACTGGGGGGTTTACGATCTATATGAGACTTGATTCACAAAAAGTACTCTTACCCAGAAGATCCAATGCTTTTGCATACACCAAGAAGAGGCCGCTTCTCAGAAAAATTATCACATTTCTGAGCACCTAATAAGGGAGAAAACAAAAAAAAAAAAAAAAGGAGATCACTATGTACTGTTTGTGTTACCCTTCAAAGTACAGGTGTGCATGTTGTGGGGACCCAACAGACACCGATACTGAAATGACACTGAGTATGTAATGTGAAACTCACAGCCTGTACAAAATTAGTGACAGCAACGCAAAAACAGGCAGAGCCACCAACACCGGCAGAACTGTTCTTGAACAAGACGGCAATGAGTAACAAACCGAGCAGCAAAAGGCGGCCAGGACTCGGGAGTTATTTTCTGCTCATTTCAGTCAGGGTTAAGGATTCCGTAACTATAAGAAGTAATGCTTCCTCACTTGTCATTGTTTTATAAAAGGTGTCTGCAGTAAGGCTGTCACCATCTCTGTGTGCAGTTCACACACTGGCTTCCAATTTATTCTACCGATGTGTGAGTGGGCTGTAAGAGCGTTACCCGCAGCAGCGCAGCGTACGAGCACTTACAGCCACATTTACACCCTGCTCTGTGCTGAAGAAAACACAAGAATACGTTCAAAACAGCCTTCAGTCAGTTCTATGGCCGAGCCATTTCAGCCCTTGAGAAAGCAACCTCCAGCAACTGCCAGCGAGGCACAAGCTCCACCCGCTGCTCCAAGTGAAAACACGACTCCAGCTCCGGATCCCATCGGCTTCCACGGTTGGCTCCAGGACGAAGGGGAGAAGCAGAGCTCGGTGAGGGCTCCTCCTCGGCTCTGCCGGCCCTGCTGGCCCCAGAGCTGGGCGACTCAACCCAGCCCTCCCCTCCGTCTGCCCCAGCACCCTCACACCGTCCCTCCAGACCCAGAGCCATTAACTACACCACGCTGCTCAAAAGGGGACTTCCAAAGTTTTGAAACTTGGCCTTATTGCCACGTAAACAAAAATAAAACTAAAATTGGGTCAAAAATCTCTCCTCCTGCGAGCAATGCTTTACTAAATTCCAGGCTACATTTCTATCCAACTTAAATAACAGAATAGCCACCGCCACCACCACTAAGTTTCCTCCATTTTCTTTCAACCTTTGCCTTTTTAATTATCTATCTATAGGTATGCATGTGTGTGAACAATAGATTTTTTTTTTCCTCCATTATACACCAAACCTTTTGATCTATAAAGAATATTAGTGATACAGTCCATTCAAAATTTAATTCGCAAATACTGGTGTACTGCACTAAATCAATTATTCAGAAAGACACAACAATTAACAATATACATTTTCACATAACAGACTGTTAATTATTAATAACTCTGGTACATGCAATTAATTTGTAACAAAAACTGTTCAGTACTCTCATCTGTACAAGGATAAGTCTTCCCCTCCTACACATTTGGGTATTTATAAAGTCAAACGGGTCACATGAATAATTTCACCATCAACAATAGCTTTCCAAGTAACCCAAATCAGACAAATGTATTTTCCTTTCACTCCTATTATTTCAAGAGCTTTTATGAGTCGTACCTGTACTGTATGTACTGACCTGTAAATTGATAAATGAAACATACAGTCTTCTCAAGACTCTGGCAACCAATCTGTTTTCTTCAACACCAGTAACAGATGAACTCCATTTGTTTCTATTCATTTCAGCAAAATGCTGACTACCAGGAGTCCTGACACTGATTTAAGCAGAGCCAGGATTTTACCTTAAGTATTTAACTATACCTTTTTCTGTTCCTTTTTTCTTTTTCTTTTTTTTTTTTTTACTAGGATGTATTACAGACATGAACTCACATGCTTCTTTGTGGTCTTGTTCCAAGTTTAATGACAAGGAAGGGGGAGCAAGGGGAAGAAAGGTGGTGGCGAGTACAGAGAAACAACCACACAAAATCAAAAGCAATGCCAGGTTTTAATACCTACAATATAGATTTGAAAAATTTGTACAATCGGTGCTTAAACTTCTGACTTGAGTCTGTAATGACAGAGGCCCTCATTAAAAAAAAAAAAAATCCATTTTCTACTTCAAATATACACTTTCAGAATGTAAATACTAATACGGTAGAAAAGGATCATTATTTTGAGGACTCTGCAGGGCATTAAATCAGGTTAATAGCGGTGCCATTCGCGAGATTGCAAAAAGCGACATGTGTTGTTCTCCGCAATGCCTAATGGAGTCAGCAACCCTTTCTGCTTCTGCCGTGGGATTTAATCTTCCAAGTTATGGTGGATTAATTTTTATTTGTAAAATTGTGTTTATTTGCATGTGCGATGGACTGACGTTGTACACACCTGCTCCACACACAGTGTTTAACAAAATGCAGCAGGATGATTGAAATGAAAAACAGCTAGCTAAATCCCTCAAATACAAAAAGTATTGAAATCCTGTTGCAAAGTCTTTTCCTTAAACTCCTTTTATTCTAAATCCTTTTAATTCTGTCATATAACACTACAGCATTTATAAAAAGCTGAAAATCCTGACAAATCACACAATTAAAGTAATGAAAACTGTCCTTCCTGCCAACAAGGCATCACCTTATCTACCGCTCCATTTAACTAAATGATTTTTTTTTCTGAAAAAAATAATCTAACTTCAGTTATTATACTTTTAAAAAAAAATATCTGTGGCTAAACCAAATTTCATGCAAATCAACATTTAGAACTTTATGAAGTCAAAAGGTTACCCACACGTAAGCTCAAAGCTGCTTATGTCCTGTACTTCTGATGAAACTGTGAACAGGTATCTCCGGGGCCTATGAAGCCGCTCAATAATGCCAATAATAACAGCAAGGACAGCAGCAGCACCCCTTTCGGAAGAATAAGAACAAAATCCCAGTGTCCTCTCGTTTCCCTCGAGTAAGAGAAGTACTCTACAAATGTCAAATTCTGACCTACTTAGCAACAACCTACACAGATGACAGCGTGTGTTGTTCTGGTACGGAAATCCACTGATGAAGTTCACAGGCATTTAATAACGTGCTGCAGCTCCTCATCAATAAAATCGCTCGCATTTCTATCTTTTACTTCAAAATTGTGCTGCCTTTGTGGTCCTGCCCCATGTCCACCATGGTGCCGACCAGTATCTGGAAACGCAAGGGGCCAGCTGGCTGCTATCCACTACGTCCAGTTTTCCCTCCCTGTTTTGCTCCTCAGTGTTTCTGGAGCCACACGTTAACTGAAGACAGAGAGAAATACTCTATTTTGATCGAATCTTGTTTGAAAAAACACCTTGAAGATGCATCAGTCTAACATGGCGCAAGTTTAAGGTGTACTGGTTTAAGGCGTTAACGTGATGTGGCCAGAACTGAAATGGTAGCACCCAGGTCGGTCCCCACAGCTTCAAAGAAATTAGCGTTTTAAAATGCCATGTTCCAAAATTCTTCCCTAGAATATCTATAAAAGGCTTACTTGCTCTGCCTGGGAATTCTGTTCTGTAATTTCTACAACCCATACACATTAACATCAATTACCCCCTAACAACCCACCTAACAGTTACAAAACACAAAACCTTCAACGCACACCTGCGGGACCCACTGACACCCACCCAAACCCAGCTACCGGCTGCTGCTGCTGCTTGCTCAGCTCGTAGGGCTACTGCTTTTTTTACTATAATATGTACTGTGCAATTATTTGGCCCTCAAGGGCTTAAAACCACTAAGCCACCCAAGTGGTTGAACATACCCAAAACTCACATCTGCCTTCCTTTAGAGAGCAACCCAAATACTACAGTTTTTTCAGGATACCTGCACATAAAGCTGAGTCAGCTTTTGAGGCTCAAATTTTATTTTACCAACATCAAAGATGCAAGCAGTAGAGCACAGAGATAAATTTGCTGCAAAACTTAAAAACTTTCAACAGTCCTAGATTTTCAAAAGCAAAACTATTTCGTGTCCCAATCAATTGTAGCTTTTCACATTAATTCTAGTTTTCAGCCCTTCACCCACAAAGTTCATTTGGTTCATAGTTGTTTTAAACATATCACCCCCAATTTCTCTCTCTTATTTCCTCTCTTATTTGCCTTTTTTTTTTTTTAACCTTACCAGTCAATGGCAATAAACTAATTCAGTTCACTGGAGGAATTTATTTTCATAATGCTCATACGTGGAAATAGGTTTTACAGACAATGACTGATTTAAACTTCAACACACAAGCCTGTCATCACGTACCCTTTAACCACAAATTACCACACACAATGCTATTCCTGCAGCTTTTCCTTGTTTCTTGAGTGACTTTACACTATGCAAGCCCACCTTAATAAATGGGACAGCACATGGCAGAAAGCAGGTATTTGGCCAGAGTTTTGTAAAATGACCTGGGACAAGCAATGAAAAAGGAGAGCCTGCAGCACTGACCTGTTTCAGAAACAGCACAACAAATTTTTTAAAATACTAGTAGAGTTCTGAATTTATTAGTGATCTCATAGGTTAAGGAACATATAACTACTACATAAAACCTAAATAAGTAATACTTTTAATGTTTCTATAAATACCACAGAAATGCTGATCAGAAGAGAGACTGACTGACAGCACCCAGAGATGCCCTCATATTTTGAATACTACCTACGCAACTTGCTCTCCTCTCAAGCCCCAAACCTGGTCACAGTGTAAAGCTTCAGTGTGCAAAAGAGTCATTTATATTGCAGGCGGTAGACAATAACCAAAGCCACTGAAGGCCACAGTAGACATTCTCTGTTGCAGAGAAGAGTTGATGTCTACATTTTTCAGTGTCATTTACAGAAATGTTTCAATTCTTCACTGACATCTTATCCAGGTCGCAGACCAACCAGGGCACGGACACATCAAAGTGCTGCAGTGCTGGGCCAGGTCAGGTCTTGCCTGGTTTGTGAGCTCTGACCAAACCCCACACGAGCACGGCAGCAGAGCTGCCGGGTCAGACCCGTTCCAGGAGCCATTGAACTGCTCCAGCGTGGCACCGAGCCCGAACTAATAAACCTCACCGGATCCCAGCTGGCAGCGTGCGAGGCCAGCTCCAGACACTGCCCCACGTTCCTGCGCCTCAGACCGCTTCCATCCTGCTAAATCAGATCTGAGGAGGTCACCTCTGCAATCAGCCTGCGTGAAGTAAGCCTGTACAAAATGACTCTTCTGAAACAATGTGTTACTATGCTACTAAGCACACGATGCAGCAGAAGATCCAACATCAAAGGACTAGAGTATTTTAACAAACTCGTTGACAAACTATTAAGTTCTGCTACTGCAAAGTCACCAAGGTAAAACCAGGAGCTTTCCTTTCACACCTGGGAATGAGCGTCTTATCACAAACTAAGATCTGTTTCTAGGAACGTGCCAAATCCATCCACCAAGAGAGTTCTATTTTCAATAATTCCCTTTTTACAGCTTTACAGTAAAATAGTGTTTGAGCTTACTGATGGTAATCAGCTTCTCCTTTACAAATTCCTTTTATTTTGTTCAGAATCATTAAAGCCCATGTGTTAGTTATCTAAGGCCTCTTATTACAGCTTTACTTTTATCTGATTCCAGATACTGGTCAATGATACATTCATGTACTTTTAATCAAAGATTTATTTAAGCCAAGCCACGTAAAAAGAGACCAAAACATGTTTTTAAAAGGTTTGGCTTAATTTACTATGAACTAATTTGAATAGTTTTCTAATGTAACAACTATCGTTGTCAGATGTTAAATATATCCAATTTAGAGACAGGCAGTAACTGCTTGAAGGAGTTCATGAGCAGTGTAACTTACTGGATTGAAAAATCAGAAAGCACTATTTTCCTATCACAAAAAAACCCCCAAACTTATAGGTTCTTCAATTAGTTTAGTTCATCCCCATCTATGCTTTTTCTCCCCCTCTTTTTTTTTGCGTTGCGAGAGGAAGGGACATAGACATCCGTTACTTAACAACACACGTAACAGCAAAAACCCGTAACTCACCAGAAATGATGCAGTGTTCCCATAAACAGAACAAAAGGCACAACATGCTTGTGAAGTATTTTGTTTTAAGTTACTTTACTATAGAGTTACAGAACCACATATATTTCATATATTCTTCTGCTCAGGAGATCACCGAGACAATTTAAAATGTGTCCATAAAACCTTTAACTTTCTTCATGAAACACTCAGAATTACCATAATTTACTATTTTTGTAATGATTTAAGCAATTAGAATTTAGCTTGTGTTTTTTTGAGCTCACTAATTAATTTATGATATGCTACTAAGAAAACGTAATCCAACATAATCTCAAAAAACCTTGGTCATACTAGAAGCACATTCTTTTCACCTACCATGTAAAATATGGCAACCAATTTAAACCAGAAATACTACTCAGCAGCTGCACAGAACAGTTTTCCCAGCTGAAATTACAGTGAGAGCGGATAAGCAAAACGCTGGTGAAACCAAAAATAAGCCAGGACATCAACAAATCTTAGGCCTTTAAGAAGTATACAATCAGATTTTGTCTTTAGATTGAAGGGTGTAATTTTTTTTTTTTAAGGGATTTGCTTGTTTACACATAGTTGCTTAAATTTTGCAGCAAGCTCTTCCAAGGGGTTAACTCAGAATTTCTGGAACAATCCTGTTAAACAAACTAAGCAGCTTGTCTTAGAACTTGATAAAACATTATTAAAGCAGCAAAAAAGAACACGTGCCTATCGACAGATCAAGGAAGCAGCGTGAGAGCTAAAATCTGAAGATGAAACTGGAGATAGCACTGGATTACAGAGTAGGAGGAGAAAAGAAATAAACTTGCAAAAAGCTATTACGAAGGTGACGGGTTAAAATTAAGGAAAAAACCTACACATCAGGTTATGATTTGGAGAGCAATGATTTGGACAAAGACCTATAAAAACAAATTTATGCTTAATTATGAACCGTATAAAGATATACTTACTGATTTGTGGAGCTGGTAAAATCCGCGCAGCTCGAACTGGGCCATGGCGGACAGAAAAGAGTTCCTGAGCTTCACCACTGATCTGCAAAACATTGAACGAGGAATATACAATTTAAAAAGAAAAAAAAACCCAAACATGGTTATTAAAAAAAAAAACCCACCTCAGCATATATTTAGTAGGTATGAAAGTAGGTAGCGAGACCTTGTACAAAAGGTAGGTAAGAAAGGAAGTTGGTAAAACATTGCCTTTCTAACCAACCACCTGCAATTTCTCTCCATGAGAGTATCTCAGAGGCCTTAAATAACACAAAGGACAGCACCAAAGACGGCCTGCCCCTAAACCCACGCGCCTTCGACCGCCTGAATGAAACCCACTATCTGCAAGACTTGAAGATGACTGCTGACTAAAAGTCACAAAAATTCAAGGAATGTGAAACACAAGCATGTATTCTACGTAGCCTAAGTTTCTAAGAAAAATGCCGACTAACCCACGATCAACAGTGGCAAACACTGATGGTAAAAGACCTGAGCATCTGATATATTGGTATGTTCCATATTCTGCAGGTGTGAAAATTATGTCTAAAAATAGGAGGTCAAGCTAATTAAGTTTGTCACTAATGGCAATCTTGAAAAGATTAAACCAGGAGTAGTTAAGAAGAATTTCCAGACTTCCTGCACGTGGTCAGTCAGAATGCATTTTCATAACTGCCTGGTAATGGATCCGATATGGAACGTCAAACTTCAGGAAAATGGCAAACATTATGAAGCTCATTTCCAAATAACCAACAACTTAAAACAGATGTAATGAGACTAAAAATGTAGTCGGCAAAAAAAAAAAAAGGTTTTGCCGAAGAAGCGGTTTACAGTATCAGAAGAGAATGCAATTTGGAACAAGTTTCTTACGAACCCATAAACTATAAATACACGTTAACTTTCTGAAATGTCATTTGATGGTCGTTCCCATTTCTTTCCGCACTTCAGCTCACACATTCTAAAAGTTAAAATACTACTACTGTTTGACCAACAAATCGTGCGTATCATACTTCAGCCTCCCAGCTTTCTTCCAGTCTTAACCCTGAGCCTCATAATTTCTTAACCCTGCTTTAGATAATGTGGGCAGAAGGACACCTATGCCACTGAAGCACAAGTCTTTGGTAAGATCACTTTGAAAACACTGTTAACTATGGAGGTAGCCCATCATTCTGTACACAGTAAGTAAATGCAAAATGTAGAGAACTACTGCTTTTATATATTTACACCTGCATTCAGAAAAAAACCAGCTAGGAAAAAAGGCAGAGCGCAGCTACGCAGCAAATGAGAAAAAGAGAGGCTAATAAAGAGATGAAAAAAGATGCAGGCAGCAGCACATTTTCTATCCATCAGAACACACCAGGTCCATGAAAAGGGAAAGGAGGAAATGGAGAAGAAGAAAAATATAAGGCTTTGGAACTATTATTATTGGCAATTAAAGATTTTTTCCCCCCAATTATGAAAATGGTGTTTCACATGTGTATGCACATCAATGGCCATGGATGAAAACAAGGAAAAGGACCAGCACAACAAAAGTATGGAAGAAGTGATTCACATAAAACAACCCAACCCAGTCACCTCCTCCTACATGTGACTATGCCAGCACATCAGCCTTAACTCCATCTACCTCAAATAACATTATAGTCCCAGAAGTAAGATACGCTAAGAAGGCCAAACCTTCTCAACTCAGTTTCCGCTCTTAAATATACTGAACTCAAGAGAGTATGTTTATTTAGCCTGTGATGCCAAGACCTGGTAGAGCTTAAAAGTTGAGATTTTCAAAGAAAAGCCTAAAATGTACAAATATAAATGCAGTTTATTCAGACTTCAGCACCTAAAATGAAAATCCCAGCCCAGCTCTTTTCATGCATACAATGCCTTTTCTTTTTAATAATTAATATTCATTATTTTAAAGATAACCATTTTATTTTATGCTGGGAGGGAACTAAAGAAAGAAAGGTTAAATGAACTAACCAAAGCCACAGGATCAGACTGACAAGATTATAGGTAGTCAACTCCTGTTTTGGAAAAAAGCAAGAAATTGTTCAGATAACGTCAGCCATGTGTACAGCTCATGTATTTTACAGGTTATATGTTGCTGACTCCTAGGAGCCAAAAAAGAGCATGTTTTAAGGTATAACCCCACTGTAGATTTTGTAATGAAAAATACAAGATGCCACCCAAACATTGTCAAGGAGAAGATTTTACAAAAATAAAAAATGGGCATGATAGTACAACAGAAATCAGATAAAAGTATCAATATTTAATGTATTGTAGCTCCATAAAAGAATGGTTTTCTTAAGGGATTTTTTTGAAGTTGGATGTCTTTAACTGCTCTACAGAAATAGGAAAGCACAGAAGACATCAGACTGTGTTGTATGCAATGAATAAGTAAGAGCTTAGTTGTTTCTCTGGTTTGCTTGGCATTGAAAAATGCATTAGGACTTTAGAGTTCAAGATTTGCTTTGACTTGCAATTAACTTTTTTTTTAAACACTGCCACCAGAAGCTTCTGCTATCTTCAGCCTTAAAAAATTCTGAACCTGTGGTTAATGCTAATGTCCTTCACTTAGGGGGCCGGCTAGCTCAGTGGGTTAGAGAGTGGTGCTGAAAACACCAAGGTCGTGGGTTCGATCCCCATTCGGTCCCCACGTGTTGCCTGATCTAGTTGAGAGGCGTCCCTGCCCGTGGCAGGGAGGTTGGATTAAATGATCTCTAAGGTCCCTTCCAGCCTAGGCCATTCTAGGATTCTATCATTTATCTGTGCAGAGCATAAAATTTTATTACCATTGCTGAGGCCACAGGTACCAATTTTGCCTAAAAGCACCATCGTCAGGGTAGAGGTTATACAGCCTGATCCTCCTGCCAGTTTAGGCTTTATCTCACTCCTGAGACAGCCAATATAGGCAGACGGGACTTCCTGTGAATTGGACACTTAGGGCACCAGGAACCGAAGCAGCACAAGGAAGCACATTTCAGAGAAGGGCAGCCCCATTGCTGAAGGCCCAACAACTTGGGCACCGCCAGGCTGGGCGAGATGTGGGCTGGCAAGTGTAAGGAGAAGGCTCAACATCCCATTACTAGTCCCTTGAGCTACACAGTCTCATAAGCATAGACAAAATATAAATAGACTTCACCAACTGCAAACAGAGCTCTAAACTCTTCAGAAAGCACCTGTGTAGAAACTCGGCTCTGGCTGCTATCTTGGGTTTGATCCAGTTAAGTAGCAAGTCCCTGCAGCAGCTTTCAAAGCTCTTAAAAGTGGGGGTGTTTCCCATTCCAAAAGCCGAGGATATTTCCAAAGAGGTTTCAAGAACTGAATAGTGAGCTATAAAAGCAGCTTCAAGTACTCGTTCTATGGAGGAGTGAATCAGAAACGACGGCTCCAAGCTGGTCTGACAGAACATTTCAGCTTTCCCAGCCTAGTATCAAAGCCTACATGGAAAGCTGCACGCAAAGAACACGCCGATTCTAAACCCGGCCCCCAATGAAGTCTTCGTCGCTCTCTTCCAATAATGACAGACTGGAAGAAGAACAACTCTCTCCTCCACTGAGACGTCTTGAGCTACTGCTTAAAATATGACAGGGCAGAAATCTGGAGCACTGGTTAATTTTTGATGACAGAGCTTTATTGTTTGGAGCATACCAGTTTGCACCCATAAAAAAAACAGAACAAAGGAAGTTTTGTTCACACTAAGGATAACTAATAGTTTCCAACCATAGAAAATGGTTTTCACATGGTAAAAAAAAAAAAAAAGTCAAACATGCACCAAACTGAAACAAAATTGAGTTTGAAACTCATTGCTTAACCTACTGTGTTACCATATAAATGAAACTTCTCACTTATTAAAAAATTGTCACAGAGCACAGGGAAGACATCAGCAGATTGTTCTTTGTTTAATATTCTGACATATGTTTTAACTACGATTTAGATATCATGACATTATGACAGCAAGCAATAGCAGATATGACCACAAAATACTGTCTGATATAATCATACTGGGTTAAAGACTACTGCCAGTCATCTCACTACTGAGGAAGAGCTGTAAATAAAAGGACAAATCTTATCACTCTAGTTTAGCAATTCAAAGTCTGCTTTGTTTCATTCAAAGTCAATCCTAATTAGAGATTATAAGAATTTAGATGCCCAAAGAATATTACAGATGTCTATTCTAGCAACCAAATTAAGTATGAAATTGCACCTGGCATTTAAAACTACGACAATGCTAACTTAATTTATGAAACAACGAAAGCTTTGGTTAGTCTCTTCAACATTCTCACTTTATTTGTAATATATTTCAAGGAGTTCTAGCATGATCAGGCTGCAGGCTCCCTGTAAAAACTACAATCTGGGGGACAGTTCTTCATTGGTTTTAATCACTTCATTTCTACACAAAGATAAGAATGATGCAGACAATACTGGAAGCAGGTACAATATGGGTATTGGTACATTTCATGAGTCCAGTTGGTGTATGGTATGATACAAATTAAAGAAAACCTGCCAACAGTTCTGCAGTCACTTAGCGAGTGTTAAAACAGAAAATTTCTTACATGCTGCTAGCATCTTCAGTGTCAAAAAGAAAAACAAACCCAGCAGCCTCAGAAAATGGTTTGCATAGGTGTACTGTAAAGTCCTCAGACATTTTTCAGGGTTACTAGGTCAAGTCACTACCACACTTTGCCAAGTGGCTAAAACAAGCCTCTATGAGGTGCCCTCTCTCAGGAGGTCTGCACAGAGGAGGGATTGCAGCTCACTACACGGTGAGTGACTGGTCCTTCTCCCAGCTCCCAAAGGAGAAAGAACTACAAAGGAGAAGGAATGACGAAGATGACCACATCGAAACCCCAGCACACTGGCCTTTTGGTGCACAGCTGAGAAAACCAAATGGAACTGGCACATCTGACCGACCACAGACAGGTACCTCTCCACCCACACACACACGCACCATCTGCCGTACAACTGCACTTTTAACAGCTTAAAAATCACGGTATGACTGATGGCAGCATTTAAAGAAATTTAAGGTCTGGCAGTGGAGGACCGACAGTGTGTGATGCCATCCTTGTCCAACAAGTCTTCTGCATTCCAGAGGTCTCCACACGGAAGTCACCTACCACATGGGCTGACGCATCCCATCAGTCTGTGGCAGCGTCATTAAACCACAGCCTTTAAGTATTTTTCTCTAAATATACAGCTGTGTTTGTTATTTAAAGCCCCCTTTGGTAGTTCCTATTTTATTCAATCCAATCTCGATCATTCTTTTTTAATTATACTATAAAACATTAAGCTAAGATGACTTTTCCACTTCTGAAACTTCCAGCATACAATAAAAAATAAAAAAAAAATTTATCTGCCACAAAACCAGCCAACATGCATTTCCCTGAACAGGAACATCTAGAACAGATACTTGGAAACCACATTAGGCAGAAAACAGTTCCAGTTCTGTTTGAAACATGAAACTGGGGGTAAGGGAAAAAACAAATTCCAAATAAAACACAAAACTACAGTGCATGATTATCAAATAGGAACTTCTAGTCATACTTTTGTATATTCCCAGATTTCGCTCCACTTAGCGAGGAGTATTTTAAGAACACTTTTAACCTCCCCGCCCCCATTTCAAAACCGAGATCAAAGCAAAGCCTTTTGGATGGGCACCTTCCCCGTCTTATGCAATACAGATTTAGACGCTGCACTTCAAAACCCCAGCCGTTACTTCAGCACCCAGCAGTCCAAACATTATTTCAGCCCTTTGAAGCGGCCCTAATGGTATCTTCCATTTGCAAGTAACACTTCTGTAGTCAAAGATCTTACTCCAAGGAGATGTTAATGTGAAACCACTCAGACTGCAGAGAGACACACACTCCTGGAGGCAGGCGGCGGAGGTGTTTAGAAGTCAATGTAACACCATTACGGAGAGTGTCAGCTTAGAAGCTGTCATAAACACTTCATAATCACTCAGACACAAACTGCACTGCCTGCAACACATTACTTTATTAAGTGCTGAATAGAGGTTCAATTGTACGAATAAAAAAAGCACAATGCTACAGATAATAGCCTCCCTGAGTAGATTTTCACATAAACGTCAAATTGTTGCTTTTTCAGATTGAAAGGTTTTTAAACTATAGAGATTTGCCCAGGGGTTTTTTCTTAACTGGAATCGCGTTGCTTAATTACAAGCTAAATACTCAGTGAGATCAAGAAGAAAGGTTTGCGTAAAGGACAGAAAAAACTGCTGCCAAATGAACTCTAAACATTTAAGTCGATCATGTAACTGCCACATTTTACTTTACATGGACTAAATAAGCAAAAAAAAAAAAACAACAAACAAACAGATGGTGAAACAACAACATGGGGGAAAAAAAGACCCAAACAACAGAACAGGTTATGTTACCTCCAATTTTGTTGGATATATAAATCCTGCTCTGAAAAGATATTTAAAACTGACGTTAAAGACTGCCATTCTGGGAAACTCTCCAAGACTATCTTGCTAACAAAGGAACTATTCCAACACTAAAATTATACTGACACCATAATTGCACAGGTCAAAGCTGTACCTCTCCGGATGTGGCCTCAAAATTTCACCGAACACGCAACTGAAGGGCTAACAAAGTCACGCAGTATCTCTGCAGATGACATTCTTAAGGTAGGTAGTAAAATATTTCCACATTTGGCATTTTTTCCATTTCACTGGACTTTTCCCCTACCCAGTAAAAATACCTCTGAAGGATACTACAACAAACTGTCCTGCAATCCCATTTTTCTTATTTTTCTCAAAATATTACAGGCTATAAAAATCTAGGAATTACAAAGAGTGAAATACACTGGCAAAAAAAAAAAACACCACCACACAAAACCACACGGCTGCAGCATCCTGATAGAAAGCAAGGTAACGCCGTGCGTTTCATGCACTAACTTGTGGCTTGCTCAGACACACGGATGGAGGGAACGGGGGGGGAAACATGGATAAACTACCTCGTACTACCTGCCTACTACCTGAGAGTACCTGTAAGCACACTTACTTCACACAAACCAAGGTAAAGTAGTTTAACTCATCATTTGTTACTCATCTTCCTCAAATTATTGCATGTTTACGGCAGCGCACCATGGGGCAGGAGTTTAAACGCAGAGAGTTAGTGCAGAACAGGTTACACCAAGGTGATCTCTTCCCGTACGGAAGAGCTGTGGCTCTCTTCTTTCATTCTTGCTTTTCCTTGTGCACGTTAAGATCCCATCTCCCAACAAATTTCTCAAGGGCTCTGATACAGAGAGCTCCGACAGAGAGACTCTTCATTCGGACACAGAGTCACTTAGGCGGGATGCACAGAGCTCTCGCCTAACCGCTGCGCGAGGGCATGTTCCACACACACATCCCCAGGAAAAAAACCAAAAAACAAACCAACAATCTCTGCTAGACACAAAGCTGCAGTATCTTAGAGCAGCCGGGACGAGGCCCCACACAGCCCGCTTCCATCCATTTGTCAGAAAACAGGCGTCGGTTTGGGTACGAACATTTCAGTGGGATGAAGCAGGTTGTTGCACAGAAATGCTGCCGCTCGAGTCTCTGCCGCTCCCGGTACCTGAACTACCCGATCAGCTCCTGCTCCAACCCCGGCACCGCGGCGGCTGGATCTCCCCTCTTCGCTCAGTAGCTTAGTGACACCTAATGCTTGTTTTCTGAAATACACTTGGAAGAACAAAGCAAAAGCCTTTCTGAACCATTTTAATAACCTGATTTGTACACTGACATAAAACCAATCTGTCTTCAAAAGAGCATACAAACCTAATTATGTACTATAAATCCATTCTTCGTGCTCAAAGTCATTTGAGTGCAAGGCAGATTTAATTAAAAAAAAAAAAGACACAATAACACAAACCCCCACCACTCAAAGTACCGCCATCCAAAGATACGCTTTGCTCCACTTGAAAATAAAGCCATGAAAATTAGAATTAGACGTAATTTCTCCAGACATACAAGCAGACAAAATGTCCTATATTTTGATTAAAACGTTACTAAATTTTGGTTAAACTTCCTAAATTTTAGTAAAAAGTTACTAAACGCTGAAATTTCATAAAGTATACTAGGTCTTACTTCATTTCCTTTAATCTGTCCAACAAATGCAAAAGCTCAACAGTTTTTTCCTTCATTTCCAGCTAACAACATGCAATCAAGAGAGGAAAAGCCAGCTCTCCCACACTCCAGCAAAACTTAACTTTTTGGTACACATATTAACATTATTTTCTATTATACTGTCTGAGCTACTGGTACATAAACACTTATCCTACACAGCTAACCAGAAAGTAATAAAACCCACACATATTTCTAAAAAACACAACGTATTTTACAAAAAGAACTCACATCCTCTCTCCATCATTTTGAAGGACAAGGTGTTATAAGCAATTCTCTTTTTTTTTTTTTTTAAAGAATTTTATGACCTACTGTATTAAACTTTATTCTATAGTTTCAAGAAATTTGGGGGAAATTCCCCAAATTAAGACCATGTGCTCATAAACCACTCAAACACAAACTGCAGGGTGTGGGTATGACAGCATGAAATCAAACCCATATGCACACACAGACTTTAATAAAATTAAAATTGCAAATCACTTACATGACAAACATGTGATTGTAAAATACTATTAATACTGTCATACTTGCATTCCTGGGACAAACAATTTTGTTTTCATAGTTTTACACTCTTATTCCTTTCTGTAGGTTAAAAAAAATCCTGTCCTTTTTGAGATACAAACCATTCCACAGTGTCAAGCAATATTCCCAATTCAGCTCCAAAAATTTACTTAATAGAAAAAAATTGCAAAACAGTTCTCAAAGCTGAAGGTACGTGAATTCAAGTGTTTGATCTATGCTCAGCATTCACCTTAAGATAAGCGAATTACGTACAAACCAGATGACATTGAGAGTAAATGCTGGCTCTTTTCACTTCAATGGGAAAAAATAAAAGCAAACTGGTAAACTAATAACACGACACCACAAACAACAAGAAGTGAAGTGAACTCTGTACTTACAGGTATGCTCCAGACTTGCATTCCATCGCTGTACCCGAGCATGAGCAGTAAGGGTGGTTCATTCCCAGTGCTATGGATTTCATGAAACTCCATATTCCTTGAAGTATCTAAATTGGGTTTAAATATCAAAGCCATTATTAACAGGTTAGGATCAACCACGGCTGGTGTCAGTTATATGAGACAGTGGATGCTCAATGAATCTTTCTGTTGTCACAAATAAAAGTGAGTGGTCTAAATTTTTATGCTGAGACAGTATTCTTCTAAGCAACCATAACAGATTTGTTAAAGTTTCACAAAGAGGATAGAGAACATCAAAACAACCAAAAAAAATTTTCTGCATTACAGCGTGGGTTGTCACTAAATACTCCCAAAACTTCTGTAATTCTTTCTCCAACGATCAATAAAAGCAGGGCTAGCTTTTCAAACAGAGGAAAACTTGAAAAAGGCCAACAAAACAAACATAAACAGAGAAATTACAAATGCGCTGAGACTGGTCAAAACTATTTCTAGATACTATGTAACTAATCTGTATATCCACCTTACCAAAAGAAGAAAATCCCCAAGAAGAAAAGTGCTACAGGACATAATAATCAAAAAAATTAAGCTTTTCTTCAGTAAAGCCCTCTAAACCTACATTTTCAACCATGACAGAATGCACAAAAGCTCACTGTAAGCATGTGAGCATCAAAGAAAGAGAGAAAATACTCAGGATGGTGAAAGAGGATGTACTCAGGCCTAATCAGATTAAGCTGCACAGAAGTGAATTTAAACAGAATATGATAATTCTGAAGAATATTCCAAAGAGTTTTTTGTTACACTGTAGAAAAGACTCTAAAAATGGAACGCTTGAGATTTACAAAAAATAACCGTACAAGGAGAACAAACCTACAAGCAAACAAACCTTAAGTAGCCTAAAGCTGGACATAATGGCAGGTACAGGCTGACAGGCCTTTTCTAGTTCTAATAACCATGAATTTATGAACTGCCAGGCTCTGTGCCCTTTCAGCAGCTGCAAAACATATAATCTTCCCGATTAACCTCTTGGAAAGGCCAAAAATTCTCCGTCACAGCTCTGGCTATGGTTGTTACTACTTCACCTGAGACCAGGACGAGCCTTCACCATAGGAAAGAAAGTAAGACAAATTTGCTGAAAGACTTAAATCCAGTGTCCTCAGGTCCCCAGCTATGAGAAGGCCACTTCCCACACACCACAAGCAACTCCAAGACGTTCAACTAACTGGGAAGTAACTAGGCAGCAGCATCCAACCATCTCTCCTTCAGTCCCCTACTGTCCTTATCCTGAAAAGGTCCCCAAGACAGACAGGTCAATCAGCTCCGTTCTTCAGCACTGATCTACTTGACAGTCTCAGGAAAAGCTTGTAGCGATCACATTTTTTCCTAGAAAGGTTGGAGATCTGTTGTCTGCACTGTCAGCAATCTTGGCTGATGATTTGTTAAGATACAGTGGAAGCAATAAGTTACATTTGAAGAATGTTTTGTGGCTTTGCTCTGGAAGACATAATGGGCTCTCCTGCTCATTTTACCCAACTGCTCTTCCTTTCTAGGTTGCTCTGAATTCTACCGCAGCACTGAAAATATATCTGGGACCTGCACTGGATTCCAGGTTCAGTAATCCAGTAGATGAAATAAATTCAGTTCCGTGCTTTGTTTTTAACCACCATAAGAAATAGATGGATTTATTTTTAAAAGTTTTTGCCTCTTGTCCTAAGCATGAGTGAGTTTGCCTTCGGATAAAATCACAAGGCCTACTGGTGTTGCTAGATACTGAACAAAAATACAGTATTCACCTAGAATTTAGTCTATCTAGATCAAGGGAAAGAAACTCTTTCTTTTGAGTAAGCAATGGTTACTGATAAAGCTGACTGGAATTTATGATCCAAAAAAAAAAAAAAAAAAAACAAAAAAACACATGTTAGTGAAAAAGCTGCATGGAATTTAAAAACAAAAAAAAAAAAAAAAAAAAAATCACAAAAATACATGAAAGAAAATGAATCCATACCATTTAAATCTGCATTTTCAAATCGGACCCAAACGATCTTCTCCTTTTCTTCTGGTGGAGTACCACTGTAGGCCTGGACAAAAAACAAAAGGGTTGAAATAAGGAAGTTTAATAACTTTTTTTTTCCCTCCACAGAGGCTGAGAATGCAAGTTAAAAAGAAAAAAAAAGAAAAGAAGGGATAGTTTATCTTATTGTCACCAGAAGGTTTTGTTTCAAAAACCAGTGGTTCCACGATCAACATATACAGTACTCAATATAACCCAGCAAGTGTAACATCACTTACTAATGTAGAAATAACAAGACACACGTACCAATTAAGTCTCCTGGAGCAGGTTAGAAATACCCGCGACTTACAGCAATTTCACCAAGTTAAGACACAATGGCTCCTACAATCTTTAACTTGAGCAGTTGTACACCACTTCCAAAAGCAATGGTTAGAGGCTCTCATGTGAGGCCTTCTCACTTCTAAAATTCTCTTTAATTCACTTGAAAGCTTTGCAAGCAAGAGTGAAGAAAGCAAGGAGACCTTTTCTACATAGTTTATTTTACTGGCGTGTTTTAGTCATATTTGTGACATCTTTAATATAGACATTTAAAAGAAAATAAAACGTAATTCCAGTAGAACAGATCCACGTTTCAGTTCCGTGTTCTACAGATTCCCATAAAAAGATGAGACACAAAAAGAAATTGTGAAGGAGGCTTGCAGCGTTTCCAAATTGCAAGTTTTACAGTTCTCAGGAGAAACGGTGGTTGTTAGAACGTGAGCTACAGTAGAAACACCATCACTTCCCAACGAATTATAACAAAATACTGTGCAGTATTTTGGATTAAATATGAAAAGAGCTCATATAATAACTTTATACATGCCAGAAAAGCAATAGCATGAACTAAAAATACAAATTTAAAAAATAAACGTGGGTATTACTTTTCAAAATAAATCACATTCCATCCTTCCAAGGCAAACTGATTTGTAAAATATAACACAGACTGTATCCTTTAACTAGAGAGGGGGGAAAATGGGGGCCTGTGTGGAATGCAGCCATCTTTTAAATGAAAGCCTGACTATTTTTAATTTTGACCATTTCGCAAACTGATATTTGCAAGGAGACTTGGGGTTTTTTAAATATTATTATTGAGGAAATTCATGACTAACTAACCAAGATAATCCTTCAAATAAGAACCAAGACAGTTTCCTGAGGCTACAGCCTATTTAGCTGCAATGGTCCTTCACTACAGACTGCGGCTTTCCCAAAGAACAGCAGAACAAAAGTAGTTGGTCTCTGCCACCCGAGAGGCCCATGAGCAATACAGAAGTGACCACTCCAGGTCCATCCTGCTGCTACCTGTGAAAACTATGACGAAGAACAGACACAACCACCACAGTCATCCTCCAGAGAGGAGGATCCCAGAAACAAATAAACAAATGAAAGCTATGTAAAAAAGCAGAGTGCAGACTCCCGTTTTGCAAAACTCATCGGGGCGGAGAACAACGGGGTTAGGAGAAGCTGCCCAGGGCCCCAGCAGCCAGGACATTTGAGGCAAGTTAAGGAAATAGGATAAAAAAAGAGGGAATAAGGGAAGCAGAAGAAACTTTCTCCTTCTCAACCGATGCTAAAAGCCAAGGTGATACAGAGTGTCTACCAAGTTGTTCTACCACCAGTGCAGCCAGCGCTCGTGCACAAGTTTCCAACTACAACCCAGAAAAAATATATTTGTAAGCGGCAGAGCAAGTGTTATGCCCAATCTCGCCCCTCCCCAACATCACTGCAGGCTGCAGTCTCCATCCTGCTACTTGTAGAGTAATCCTTCAGCTACTGGTTTTCAACGACATTTGGGTCCACTGGACACACTTCAACTGCTTTGTACGCTGAAAAAGTTTTAAAGATCTACACATACCTGTGGCACGACATCCTGAAGAAATGTAACAACGCTCTCCATGTACGACTGTTCCCTTTAAAACAAAAGCAGAGTTTTAACTACCACGGAAGTTCAGAAATGACGGTGAATATATTCAACAAGATGTATCTCCAGAGAAAACGCGTAAGGTCTTTTGCACAAAGGAAAATCCTAAGTATGCAACATAGTTACTTAATACACAGCCAAACACTCTGATAATATAGAAGTCTGTAAAAAGCCAGGCGATACCTGGTTATGGAGTAACTGCCTGGGGGAGAAGTGTAAAACGTAACACTCAAGAAAGAAACCATGTTCTCCAGGTCAGAGTGGCTGACTGAAGCACAACAGGAAATGAGTCCTCAGTGTTTTGCTACTTGATTTGGTCACTACAACATGAAGACGAGGATGTGAGCTGAGGGTTGGAAACGTCCTTGTGGAAGTAAACTTGAGAACCTTGTAGGCATCACATACAACAACGATGTCAGTGGTAGCTTTTGGGGGCAGGAGAAAGAGCAAAACCCTAACTAAGAATAGGAAGGAGAGGTAGCTTCAGATAAAGATTTTTAAAGATTGGGAAGCTTATTCCTTCATGGAAGTTCATTAACAGCAATGATTTTGAATCGTATATAGTGCAAGATACATTTATTGTAGATTTAAACTAATGCTTTTATTAGCTTATCCTCTTGTGTAACTGCTGAGCAACGTACAATGCGGTTTGACTATATTAGACAGAGGGTACTGAAACCACACAAAAAATGTGTGCTTTCTGTAATGAGGAACACTGGAACATGTTGGCAAGAGGAACCATCTTCAGAAATCCCGGGACAATTTCAAAAGCTAAAAACAACAACTCCACAGGTAACAGCTTTGGCAGCCCTCAGATTGATTTTTATATTGGTAAGTAATTTTTCCTGTGCTAACTCAAGATTTCTAATAGGAACAAAGCAGAATCGTAAACCAGGAAACACACTCCTGATGTCCAAAGGTACACAGGCTTTCTTCATCTGAAATTGTGCTGTGTAAGATTCTTTTAATAATGCTAAAATAATAAACATGGCGATTTTGAAGTCCTCTGCCCTATACCCAGCAATACAGAAGTTTCTTCAAATCAAATGCTGCAGCACCTGGACCAGCTTAAGGGGTTCACTCCTCTCTGAAAACAAAGATAAATCTAAAGCAAAGTTTTACATTTTAGAAAGCCTCTTCCAGCTCTTGACAAAACTAGATTTTGCTCAGCAATCCAAGGATTACTGCATCAAAGTTTTACTGAGGCCTTATAAACGAGCGAGCTGTGGTTTTTAGTGCTGATTCTTCTTTGATTTATGTAGGTCACCAAAACTGTCTTGGTGTACCTCAGAGCCCTTTATTACCCAGAAATGATACTTGTCCACAGGTCTAGTATTAAACACAGCGTTTGAAGTTGTCATGTGAATGCCTACCCACAAGAGTCACATTGTCTTCGTTTTTCAGCTCATGAAACGAATATTCTTTTTCCTCCTCCTCAAGTACATCTCGAAACAAAGCTGATGTTTGGGAAATGTTTGGGGTTGGGTTTTCCAGTGTATGTAGGCTGACTCTCTCCTGAAGTTGAAAAAACTTCCAAGAAAATATCTTAGAAGTGCTTAAAACCGAACAAACCAACAAAAAACACTAAAGAAAAAAAAATCTTCTGTTAGTAAGAACCTAGGATTTTAACACAAGCTGCAGAATGCTGCTGCAGGCTGCTCAACATACGCAAACTCTCATTGGAAATACTGCAGTTTTTGAGGTGAAAAATACAGCTGAAGAACAAGCCACCACATTTAATAGAACAAAATAATAGATAATCTTATTCTTACAATCTCTTCCCATTATTATATGTTCAAAGCTTACTTTGAGGAAAAGGTCATTATAAACAGAAACGCATTTGTTGAGAACTTCTGCAACATAAAAAAATGCTACCACATGGCTCTAAGACAACCTCCAACAACTTTCTGTGTTACAATGACAGTTTTCTTGTGCTCCTTGGTAATAATAAAGTAGATCTTGATGTTGAAATACACATATATTCATCTTTAAAATGTACATCTTTTGAAGGTTTTGGTGTATAAACAAAAGGCTTCCCATTTAGGCAGATAGTTTGATTTGCACAGTCCTGGAAGACAGGGGTGCAGCATCTCTTTATTTTATTGGAAATTACACGATACCGTCAGCACATGCCCTCACAGCTGGCTTCGAAAGAGAATTCTACAAGAAAATAAAAATCATTTCAAGTAAGGGCTATTCATCTAGAACATGCTTACGTGACAGCTTGTGGGCGAACCACCACTCCTCCGGTACATCGACTAGGGCGGCGCGGAGATTCTGTCGCCATTGTTTCTTTGGAGGTGCCTGTAAGAAACACAGTTCTTTTTAACAATAATTTGTATCAGGATTCTTTATTACATCAATTCTTGACAGGTGTTCTTTAGAATGATAAAAAACCTCCTGACTTATACAAACCCGTAAGGCACTACGACTCTATGCAGCACTCTAAAAAAAACCAAACTGACTTTTTCAATACCTCCCGCAGGGTATGCGAAAGGAAAAGAGAACACAAATCTACATGATAAAGTGGAAAATTTTCTTCAAGCCATACATTAAAGATAGAGGTAAAGGTACTCAGTTATCATCATTATGCAAGATCATTATCTACTAATCAGCTATTGTCTTAAGAAACAATTATATAAAAATAACGTACAACCACAGATGCAGTGTTTTGTGCTCTCAAAAATCTGCAATGGGTTACACTGAAGACAACACAAAAACAGTGATGGAACACATTCTGCTTTTTTTATGTCAGCTTTTTGTGCCACCTTCGAGGTTTTCTTCACACTTCTGTTCTTCCATGTGAAAATTCAACATAACAATCCTAAAAGCAAAACACGCTTGCAGAGCATCCCAGACCCCAGCCAACTCTTCGGTGCGCCATTCGGCCACTCCATTGCGTGTGTGACCCCATCCCAAACCAAGAACCATCGTGAAAAGCGACAGAAAAAGGCAAAGCCCTGACGGGGTGTTGGTTATCAGTGCCGTCTCATGTTTGGCCAGTCTTTGTGAGGGCCGTCTCCCCGGGGCAAAGCGTTTGTCACACGTAGGAATTAATTACAAACCGTTCAGCAACACTGGACACTCATCACAAAAACAAAAAAATAAAAAATATAAATAAAACGCACGTAAAAGATAAAATTTTCCTTCACCGCGCGCCTTAACCGAGCG